CGCTCGATTTGACATCCTCGTCCGTTCCGACTGCCTGTAGTTGAAACAATGCTCCCTAGATCAGTGAATGAAGTAACCTCTTTCAAATTACTCCCGTTGATGGTGATTGGCGCTCAATGTTGCTGTTGGTTATTTTGACAACCTCCATCTTGTCTATGTTCACCTGGAGTCCTGTCTTCGCTGGCTGCTTCTTCGACCAGTTTGTCGGTTTTCGCCTATTTGTCTTCGATTTTGTGTGACATCAAACATAAATCATCCACGCGCGAAATCCAGGTCTTCTAGGTTCTTCACGTCGGTCCTTTCTCTGAAATAGCTGGATGTTTTATTCGCAAAGCTTTCATTGTCCTGCTAAGCAACAAATCACTTCACTCAACTGTGTGTTAGACAAAATACTCAACAACGAAAGAAGAGAGAAACGAAATCATCTACAAAATAAATTGTAATGATTGTGGAAAACACTATATTGACCAGAATAGATATCCCCTTCTTCTTCGTATCAATGAACATAAGCTAACTGTCACCAGAAATGACATTCATTCCCTCATATCGCTGCAAACAGACAACCATGGACATCAGTTCGACTAGGACAACGTTCAAATATTAGACAGAGGAATCATCAAGAATGCTGGAGAATTTTTGGAAACTTCGTATTCCAGTCAATCGTCAATTAATAGAGTCATTGACATAGACAAAATTTACCAACCGATTAGAATTCCAACTTCGGGTCAAGGAAACAATCAGCACCAATACCATTACAATTAGCCTAAAAGGTGTAAAAGCACACAAATACAACCAATCACGTTCGAGGTCACCAGGACAGATGATTTATAAATTGGTGGATAAATCTAAAAGCTCACTTCATCAAATTGAAATATGAGCTGGAAATGTTCCCTATTAGGGTGACGAAAGCTTTGCAAATAAAACCATCCAACCAACAGTACACAATTTCGTCAAAATTCCCTTCTGTTTACCTCTTCACACATACATTTCTCTGTACTGGATTGTTATGAATTGTATCCAATTGCTTTTTACTCCGTCATCGATATCTAGACTCCCTTTTATAAAGTGTCATTTCAACGAGAGATGCAGTATGAAGTTCTGAATTTCCGCAGAGCCAGATCATGTCTTTATTATTATTTTATCAGTTTTTATTCATTTCACCAGAACATATTTTATCAATGTAACTGGTGATAATTCAAGGTGAAGTGTAAATGTTAGTTGCAGATGGAATCCAGAAAACTGCGATTGACCTCCTGTAGGACTGTATTGGATGGTTACGATTGAACACTAGTCAGTAACTAGTGTGATGTGTCTTCTATTCCCTTCTTTGTTGCAGATTGAATCGCAAACGAGTACCAGCTAGCACAAGAGACCTAGGTCCAAGTTTTGCTGTGGTCGATTCCCTTCAACCATCTAATATCATCAAATCAATGTGCACCACGATGGTGAGTCACCTAGTAGCATAGTGGCTATATTGTCGACCTGACTGATAGAATTCAGTCTACAGTAAAGAAAGGAATAGACTTGACATATCACACTAGTTACTAACTAGTATACAATGAAAGATTCTGTAAAATCGTAGAGTATTGACAGAAGGCATTTTCGATGGTTCACAAAAAAGTAAGATAAGGAATACGAACAAAAAGTGAGCAAAAGTATCCATTTGTACGCAATCTCTTCTAGCCTATTTGAGCATTTCACGTAATTAAATAGAGTCGTTACTGAACAAAGAATATTCTTTTCGATAACTTCATCATCAGGTTCTACAGTCATTTATACATAATAGTGAGTGAATTAGTGTTATTAATAACTTGAATGTTGTTTAAATAACTTCGAGTCAATAGTAATAATAATATCCATGGATTACGGTTCAGTAGGATCAACATAACAATGCGCGCTGAGATGCATTAAAATCAGGAAAGATAATAATAATAATAATAATAATAATAATAATAATAATAGAAATTCGAGAATTTATAGTCTGCACTGAAAGCCGACCAGGGCAGTAGAAGTGGCTGAACTTCCGTCCGTTGCACACAAAGCAGCAGTTGTTAAAGGCGAACTACGGTAGCCTGTACTGTTTGGAGTATGCCGTACCCGGATGTTTTCGACAATCTGTCTGGTACCCGATAGATAATCGTGAATGACTCTTCAGTATTAGCTGGTATCGCGCTCCTGGTACTTCTCACTACACCTTTATTTAAGCACACTGGTAGATGTTTCCAAGAGAGCACGAAAAATCAAGATAACAGAGGTAGGCCTGTACCAAAGTGTAAAACACTTTTTTGGGGAAATTTGTTTCTAGCTTACCGGAATAAAATGAATTAGTATAACTCTGTTCCAGAATAGTAGCTATGTTAAATAGGGGTTGTTTGAGATGCCTGTTTTTCTCAATGGTGTATGCGTGCTTTGATGAGTAAATATCAGATTGACAAAACAAAATATATTTTATATACAATTGGTGGATGGTGGCTAGCAGTGGAATCCAGGATGCGCATTTCGTCCTAATGGGGACTCGTCAGCTGGATGTACCTGCATTCCTCAGTGAGTGATGATGTTCCCACCGAGGCTCGAACCCAGTGCCCATAGTTTTAAACGCCAAAGCGTTATCCACTAGACCACTGGATTCCACTGCTAGCCACCATCCACCAATTGTATACACATCAAATCTCCCCCAATTAGGACGAAATGCGCATCCTGGATTCCACTGCTAGCCACCATCCACCAATTGTATACAAATCAAATCTTCAGACATCGTCAAAGCATCTGCACAAGAAGCCGACATGTCAACCTGAGACCGAGCACTTCGGTCCAATCAATCGACGGGAAAATCAAAAATTCAATTCAAAAATATATTTTAGTTGATATTCAGTAAATTATAGGATCTCTTCATGAGCTAACATCGGCTAGAGAACCAGTGGAAAACCAGCTGCGAGTACTGGACCGGTATTTTATCCTAATTTGGGACTCTTTAAATCCCCACAAGGCAATATTTGAAAATTCACTAGCTTATTTGATTATTTTGTCTATCATAATAAAATGAAAACCTCAGTGGTAACACTAGCAAATTTCTTTCATTAATACTTCCCCGGGTTCTGAAAGGAATGAAGGCCTTCAACAGCCCGTCTCCATCGCATCCTTTCCTCTGTAGACCTCTTAAGAAGATTGTACGATTGCCCATAACTTCTGCTTCCGCCTGATAAAACCTTATCCACGCCACCCTTGAACGCACGCCCAACTCGTTGTTTCCCATAGGGTTTGCACGTGATGTTGCTCAGCAGTCTCCTCAGAGTATGCGCAATCCATCTCCGATTTCTTCTCTATATTTTTTAAGTTTTACGTCATTAGTTGGTTTGTTGACTGCTGGACTTCCTTGTTTCTAAACCTTTATGGTAATGTGATCAATAGGAATTATCGAATAATTCTGTAAAAAATATAATTATACAGTGTACAAGTTCAGTAATAATCTAGTAAATGTCATTTGACGAAATATTATTCCGTCTGAAGCATACTTCAATACTTCGCAGTGTTTCTACTTCATTTTTTTTTTTAAGGACTCATTTATCGCAGTAGACTGAACACATTCTGTAAGTGAATATGAATAGAGAATATGATCCAAATATGTATTTGGATATGTCACACAACCACATCAAAATCATCCACCTGAGCTACAAATCTTCTCTATCATATCTAAACTCAAAGACTTGCAAGAGAAAACAAACAAACTGGCTGAAAAGGCAGCGAAAACAGGACTGCAGGTGAACACAGAGAAGATGGAGTTGATGAAAATAACCAATTAACAGCAACAACAGCAACCAAGACCAATCACCATCAATGGAAGAGATTTAACAGAGTTTGCCACCGTCACTTATCTGAGAAGCAGTGTCATAACTACAGACAGAACTAACGAAGATGTCAGAATCAGAATTTGGAAGGCAATATACGTCTTCATCAACCTGAAACCAATTTGGAAACCTTCCGCACTCAGCATAAGGAACAAGATTCGCATTTTCAAAACCTAAAAACTTGAACTGTGCGTCACGAAATAGCATTTTCCACAGCCTGTTGCAGATTTCCACCAACAGCTGCCATCACTCCATACTGAAGATCAAATGGCCAAAAATAATAAGCAACAAGAAAGTGTGAGAATAAACCGACCAAGAACCGATCACTCAACACATATATAGAAGAGAAAGTGGAGGTGAATCGGGCATACATTGTGAAGACCATCCGGTGACATCACACGGCAAGCCCTCGAGTGGACCCGAATAGGAAGCGACGAGTGGGTCATCAATGCTAGGGTCATATGGAGGAGATGGTGTGAGGAAGAGATGAGAGAGTTTGGTTAATCGTGTACGTGTCTAAAGGGGACAGCAGAAAACAGAACACAGTGGAGATGTGTTGTTGATGGCCTATTTTCCACTGAGAACACAAGGGAATAATAATAATAGGTACTTGGATGGTTATAACGAATATAAAATACAGTGTACAAAGTTTAACAACGGAATGATAACAATTAGAGAATCATCTGACATCAAGGACTGCTGGACAGCTGTTCAGTCACGCTATTCAAGATTCCTCAGCATTACTCACTCATGGTGCCAACGATTATAGAACTTAAGGACATCCAGGTTAGGATGTATGGAAAAGAAAAATAGGTAGTCTAGTTACATGATTCGCCTACCTGTGTCGTATAATGTAATTTTGTATGTCTTTTCAAATTCATAAAAGTCCATGAATTTTGTTTTCCTTTTGGTCTCCGAATGGAACATTGGGCTTCAACAGTGACGTTAGAAATTTCACTAGCTATAGTGTTTCTTTTTACATGGATGGAGCTGTAACCTTCTCACCCAAGCTTTCTTCTATACTGGACTGGCTATCAGATAAGTGTCGGCCGGAAATCGAACCCGAATGATGTGGGGATCCTTGAATTTATCTATGTTACTACTGCCTTGATATAATCTAACTCATTCTTCTCGTCTTTATTTCATTATGTTTAGGCGTATATGAATTTTCGTCGAAAAAGTACAGTTGGATGGAGTATAGCCAATATTATGTTGGATTTCAGTGGTGGAATTCTAAGCATTGCTCAAATGATTATTATTGCATACAATAACAGTAAGTTATACACTTTGATGTATTTGTTTCTAACATCGCTGCACTTAATTTGAAATAGAGACTTTTGTAAGTTATAAAATGGACATAGGGATAAAGCGATATCATTTGTTAAATGAATTTTAGTGCTCCTATATCTTAATAGGATTAGCGCTGCCTCAGAAATTATCCGAGTTCTCCCAGTTTGGGACTCTTCGGCAGCAAACACCCATAATCCTACAAGTGATCGAACTCATGACCTCTAGATTACGAGATAAGCCATTTCACCCTCCAGTCACTGGGACGGAATCCGATAGGGCGTGAATTCTTATTTCCGCCAACTCACTATATATGTATATAGCGCTCCTGCTATTGACGATTATATGTCTTCATAACCAGTTAGGTGGACCCCGATTGGTTGCAGCTTCCAGAAAAGCCGTTCTACAGTCAGCCATTGGTAGGCATCGGTGGTTAGGACTCTCGCCGACCATGCACATGGTCCGGGGTTCGAGCCCACGCCGATGCACACCTGATATCTATGGTCGGCCTGCGAAATTTGGGCTACTGATATCACATGCTGAAATTTCCATACTTGTACCAAAAATACAGTGTGGAATCAAGCTGTAATCAAAAATAAAATAAAAAATAAATAAATAAATCGGATCGCTTTTAAGATGTTGGTACAATTCATTTCTGTGACGGGTTTCCTTAAAGGTGAAGAAAGGATTGATTGCCTGTGATCTGCGTTCAACGTATTTAAAAAAAAGATGTTTATACATAAGCCATCCTAAATGGACGTGAAATACGGAATCGCTTCTCGTTATACAACTCTTAAGTTCTACCTTGATGAAAAAATTATGAGTATATTTATATTTTTCTAATCAAACTAGAATGAAGGATTTCTGCAGGGTATGACCACATATTATCGCGAATCTAGCTAATTCACATGAATATACCACACAGTAAGTCAGCATTTAAGAGGAAAAAGACGATAGAAGGAAAGTTAGTAGACAGAAGACAAGTAGTTCAGCGAAGAGTCTCTTTTCGGCGAATTCATTTTCATAGCTGTACAATCGCAAATATATATGGTTATTTTGTGTGTGTGTGTATACATTAAATTTGTCAAACGAAAATACAATTAGTAAGTTCAGATGAATTGGATGTTGATAAGAGGATAGCAACAAAAGTGATGAGTTGTCAAAAACGATTGTTAAAGAGGAGTAAGTTTAGGTGAATTGGATGTTCATATATGAGGATAGTGACAAAAGCGATGAGTTGTCATAAATGATTGTTAAATAAGAGTTACGTAATGGCATGAATAGTTTGATGAATGAGTTGTGCTCAAAGGGTGTACATGGAAACAAAATAATATACAGAATTACACAAGGATTTTAAGTCAGAAAAATAAGCATACAAACAGAAGTAAGGTCAAATCAAACCAACAAAGAAAAGTTAGGTCAAATCAACGGAGTTGTTACCATGCGAGTAGAAGTGGTTGGATAATTTTCTTTTGTATGCATAGTTCTGGTTCCTCCAACTGGATGGCTAGGGCTTCTGCGATGCAAAGAAGACGGAATCGTACTGTCTTTGGAAGGTTGTTCTTCACTTTGTAGATTACTTTAAAGCAGAAGGCGTTTGTTGAGATGGAATGACCAGTATTGACGAGATGTTCGATTATTGCACTCCTTATATGGCCATTATTTCCTTTCTGTAGCCACGCTGGATAGTGTTCTTTGACCCTTTTAGACAGGATGCGCGTTAAACGACCGATGTACCTGGCTCCAGAGCAACAGGTGAACTGATATATACACATAGAACTGGTCATGTGCGGAATCTTGTCCTTTGGGTTTCTGCAGATCAGCGGGCGACTGGAGAACACTATTTTTAGTGTTGCCGCAGGGAAAGTTCTTCCTAAAGAGGTGGAAATTCTCCTTCTGAGGATGTCACTAAATAGGTCTCCTTTGAAGTCTAGGTTCATATAAAGTATCTTTTTTGGCACGGATGGTGTCTCTTGCTTCTGGTTTTTCTGTTTGATGTTTTTCTCTACAAATCTTGGTGGGTAGCCATTTTGTATGAAGATTTCCCTCAGGAAGTTTAGTTCTTCTTCCATGGTGTCGGAGCTGCAGATGCGTTAACAAGTGGATTAGCAAAGTGTTATGCTGAAAAGGCGATATGAATGTGTATGAAGTGTTTTGATGTGAGACACTTAACTCTCATTTGGTTCCACCAAATGATTTCCCCAACCAGGGTAAGGTGTTTTCAGTGAGCAGTAGAGAACGTGTATAAAGCTAAACTGTTGTGAGAGAAAGTCTTCTCTCTCTGTCACTTGAGAAGTGCATTGTATATAGTTGGTTTCAACATACCTCTGGAGTTAATAACTCATCACAAAAAACTATGCCTTAGAAATTTAAATCCTACTTCAAGTAGTGTTACTTTCATAAAGGTTGGCATTCCAGTTTGTCGATTCGACAAACCTTACTCATCATAAGAAATTCGATTAAGATGCCTAACTTTAAAGCCAAGTAAGTCTCTGTAAAGGGTTCATACACCTGGTGTACCTGTCACGAAAAGTATTTCAAAACTCCTACTGTAGACTTTCATTAACATCTGTATTCTCTGGCTCGAGAATAAAAATCAGACGGTTAATCAGAAAAGGTAAGCAGAAGGAATTTTTAGCTAAAAGCCCACCAAGAAGCCATTGCGCAATAAATATGCAGAATGAATTAGGGATGGATTAAGTATATGCTGAGGTAACAGTTGAATGACATCGCATGTAAGGCCTTCGAGTGAAAATGATTAGTCAGGCTTGTGTCCACGAGTGATATGAAGGCGATCATGTGGAGAAGAATCGGAAGTTTGTGAGCATTCGTAGAATAGTAAAAAATGAATTAAAGAGCCTGATGAAATGCAGATGTGATAATAGTAGACGTGAAGCTTACATTCATTTCCATGTTGAGCCAATTGCTGTTAAATAGCTGAAGGCCACCAGCGGAGCGCCTTGGACCTTGATTTCTGGCTTATCGACACATATGCGCAAGGTGTGCTTGCAATTATAATGGAACTCATACCCTTTCTCATAGAATTCAGTTACTCTTTTACATTCTTACAAGTGGCCAATCGCAAGCCAGATCAGCTTAGTAATAAAATCTTTGACTGCAGTACTGACTGATGTGGTTTGAAATCTCAGAAATGCAGTGAACTTTTTCAAGACTGAAGAGATATGTCTTGTTTAACGAGTGTCGACAGGCACATAACCTACCTCCAAAGCTTCCTGCCAATCACTTCTAACCGTCATGAAGGAGAGCCACCTAGTACGGTGATTGTATTGGAAACCTGACTGATGAAATTCACTCCATAACAAACGATATTAAAACCACGTGACTTTGTGATCACACCAGAAAAGACTAAATGTATCAAAGTATGGAAAAATTCTAACTTAATATTGTTTAACTTCTCATTGACAAATCTGTACAAGCTTTTATTTTGTTTATTTCTGTTTGTTTTGTTTCCCTACCTCCTCCACCGTCTGTGTTACTGAATACAGATGATATCAGTAGTATAACTGGATCACCGACAAAACTTGGCTTAGGCATATTGTCTATTGCATTCGATATATTATTTATGGTACAACATTGGTGCTTATACCGTCATTCATCAAATCATGATTTCGATGTGATAACCGTTGAAGATAAAGAAGAAGAAAAGCCTGAAATAGAAGATACACCGAATAAGGAATAACAAACCCCCGCCCCGCCCCCCCCCCGAATGACTATTTTCACCTTGAATGTAAGTAACACATTATATCAAAGAGAAGAAAAAGAAAGCGGAAGAAGAAGCAGTGTCACTCACTACTTCTATTCTTTTACTGCTGCTGCTATTTTCATGTTTACGTCTTTATTTTTGATATATATTATATATATATTTTTTTTATGGATATCATTTTTAAAAATATATACGAATCTCTCTCTCTCCCTGTCTCTCTGAGTTTCACTAACACTCTATTTCACTGTGCCAAGGGCCTTTCCCTTATACTCTGTTCGTGTCACTTTTAACACTCCTTCCCTATTCAACTTTCTAGTTGTAATCACAAGTATTATGATTAAAATTGACCTCTCTCTCTCGCCCCCCCCCTGTCGAGCGAAATTATTCTTATTTCATCTAACTATACACGCATAGATTCAAAGTGAACTCTTCATTTTCTTTTTCCTCCTTCATGATAGAAATTGTGCCTTTTATCAGTGAACAGTGTTGATCATTGATCTGCATGTGATAGGTGTATTTTTTTGTTAAATCGAAAATTGTATTCATTGAGAGTGCCTTTAAGAGGCTTGTTATAATCGTTAATTGCAAAGAAAATTATGCTCAAATATTATGTTTTTTAATTTACATTATATGGTGTTTGAGCAGGGGATTTGGTTTGGTTGGTTAGGTGAGCTGACATCGGTCCTAGTTTGGGACTCTTCATCACGACCCACCTACCTCAAGGGGTTCGAACCCAGGACCTTCTGGTTACCCATGAATTCTAACTTCTGCCAGTTCATGACATAGCGCGACCGCTTTGCAATGTCTTCTTCAACGAGTAACTGTCCTCAGCTCCATTCACTAGAAGCCCAGGTAACTGCCTGAACACTATCCGTAAACCGGTACTGTGACGGAAAAGTGACGTGAGAGATATTAAAGACAATGTGTCTTTCCCTCTATAAGTTATAATAATAACCACAAGGCCTAGAATATAACTAACCTATTAAAGTTTTGGGGTGGACTGAATTGAATTAGCTTTTGAACGTAAAAATTCACACAAAAGTACAGTTTTTCATTCACTGAACTTCATAAAGTCCACAGATGGGTTGAGAAAAGAAGGCAGTAAACAGAAAGCATGATAAACACAGATTTATAAGAGATGGAATAATTTCCTGGAGAATAATGAGGATTCAACGGTAGATGCGTAAAACTGTCATAAGTAGTTATATACTACTCACATTAACCGATAGTGCTTGCTACCCAGCAACGTTGAATTTGTTCTAACACCGGACAGCTAGTCCAATCATCTGGTGCTACGTTCATCAGTCATGTGCCAGACTTGTCTCATCTCAGGGGGTTGAATCAGTTCAAACCAGCTAGCTAGCTACCTAGGCGTAATGCTGATGCCAAAGGAATTCACAGCCTGACAATTAGCAGTATCAGCAGTACGCTCAAGAAGCTGACCAGAAATGAGATTGCTTCGAAATGATTTCTCTCTTTGGGCTGCGTCAATTAAGGCATAGCTGATGAGACTGTCCCCCAAAAGACCGAAATGACTTCCAGGTGTTTAGACCAATTCTATTTGGCTAGCAAGCAACTATTCACCTCAGTTAATTAATAGCACATAGTATCATGCAAGTGTGTTCAGTTTCTAGGTTCTTATTTATAGCATCGAGTAGGTCAAATATTTTGTATGATCTGAAATAACTCGGTTTTCAGAAGAAACTGCGGTGATATAATCGCCTCGAAGTGTATAAATTGGAACCAGGAGACTAGTCAAAGGGATATCACCATGGACATCGATTCGGCTAGGACAACTTTCAAATATTAGACAGAGGAAATACCATGAATGATAATTTTTAGAAGCCAGGTATTCAACTGAATCGTCAATAAATAGATACATGGACACAGACAGAATTTAACCATCTTTAAGAACGAAATCTCATACACAAAGGGTCAAACTTCAAGTCAAAAAAAAAACAATCAGTACCAATACAATTAGCCTAGAGGGTGTGAAAACACACAAAACAAACAATCACGTTTAAGGTCACCGAGAGATTACTTATAAACTCGTGGAGAAATGTAAAAGCTAACTTCATTGAATTGAAGTATGCTCTGAAGAAGTTGCCTAGTAGGGCAATGAAAGCTTCCCAAACAAGCTAGTCATCTCAGAGAACACAACTAAATCAAAATTATTCACCTGAGCTTCAAAACCTAACCATCATATCAACGTGTATTTTCTAATACGAATTTAAAACTAGCAACAAATATTACTAAGACAGTATTCAGCGAATCCGTCAAATCCCTGTACACCTCTTCAGCTGACTACTCTGCATACGGTGATTATATATATGTATATGACTAACGAGGCATTAGGAAATATGTGACTGATGAGTTAGTAAACTACAGTGATCTATAGGCACCAAAAGTTTTATTATTCAGGAGGGTGTAAGAATGACATTTGAGATTATAATGAACCAACATTCAGCCACGTCACTAAGATAAACAATTGCTTATCAAAGAAAAAATGTGAAACTACCAAAAATTTCGAACGGAATCATAATAAAAATAACAATCAAATGAGTTGAACTAACGGTACCGACAGAAAACAATTTTAAATCAGTCAATAATAATAATAATAAGACACTGAATGAAATAGTAATAATAATAAGTATTAAGTATGTCACTTGACATTCCATCTAAAATAGGTGGAGACGGAGCCTACTGAACACAAGGTCGAGGAGAGGAGCAGATGCGGGTTCACACCACTATCTAGTACAAAGGACTTTCAATGTGGAGCTAAAAGCCTTGAGGATAGCTGAGGATAGGCCATAATGCAAGTTCATTACTCAAAATCTGAAGGACACAACCACAAAAAGCACTTTCACTGAAACTGTTAGAGAAAAGCAGGAAATACTACGTGACATCACTGAAGAATCATGCGTGGAAGACCTCTGAAACTCTTTGATGGTGTTTTACTACGAAACGTGTTCAACGGTTTATGGAAGACAGAAGAGGCGAGACAAGGAATGGCTTTCAACGGACACTTGGAAATTAATAGAAGAGAGGAGAATGGTGAAAGAGAAAATGATTTAATGCAAGGACGGACAAGAGAAAGAGACCCTGAGTTCAACTTACACAGCACTGGACAAAGAAGTAAAGAAGAGTGGTAGGAAGGACAAAAGAAAATTCTACGACAACCTGGCCACTGAAGCTGAGAAGGCAGCAGGCAAAAGAAACCTGGGGACACTATATCAGATAACCAAATCTCTATCCGGGAAGAGATCAACACAAGCCAAACCTATAAAAGTAAGCCAAGGGAACCCAATTACCAAGGAAAACAAACAGATTAAACAATGGGCGGATCACTTCAAAGGACTCTTGAACCGACCACCACCTGCAACCCGTCCAGAAATACCAACAACAGCACGTACACAGCTGCAAGTTGACACCAATCCTCCAACGAGAGCTGAAGTCTTGAATGCAATCAAGCTTCTGAAAGCTGTGAAAGCAGCCGAACCAGATGGAATACCCCTGAAGCACTGAAAGCGGACCCAGAGACGACAGCAGACATGCTGACTCCATTATTGCAAAAGGTGTGGAAGGAGGGAAAGGTGCCTACTGACTGGAGGAAAGGTTACCTCGTGAAACTACCAAAGAAGGGCGACTTACGCCTCACTCTGCAAGAACTGGCAAGGATTCATGCTCCTGTCGACGCCAAGTAAAATCCTGATTCGCATCATCCTGGGGAGATTAAAGGACGCACTGGAGACAGAACTCCGACCAGAACACACTTGCTGGAATCAGGAAAGGCAAATCGTGTTCTGACCAAATTGCAACTCGACGCATCATCATCACAGAACAAAGCATGGAATGGCAATCAAACATCTACCTCAAATTTATAGACTTCAAGAAGGCCTTCGATAGCGTTGACCACGAAGTAATTTGGAAACTATTCGAGTACTACGGCTTACCCAAAATATTCATCAACCTTATTCAACAGCTTTATGACAATGGCATATGTCAAGTGATCCACAACAGAAAACTCAGCAAGACGTTTGGAGTAAACACAGGAGTCAGACAAGGGTGCTAATTATCGCCAATGATATTCCTAATTGTGGTGGGCTGACTGGATAATGCGTCAGACGGTGTGGAACGAGAAGATAGGGATATTCTGAACCGACGTGAAAAACCTAGAAGACCTGGATTTCGCGCGTGGATGATTTATGTTTGATGTCACACAAAATCGAAGACAAATAGGCGAAAACCGACAAACTGGTCGAAGAAGCATCCGGCGAAGACAGGGCTCCAGGTGAACATAGACAAGACGGAGGTGATGAAAATAACCAACCAACAACAACAACAGAAACATCCAGCGACAATCACCATCAACGTGAGGGATTTGAAAGAGGTCACTTCATTCACTTATCTAGCATTGAGCATTGTCTCAACTACAGGCAGTTGGAACGGACGAGGATGCCAAATCGAGCGAGAATCGGGAAGGCGAGAAACACATTCACTCATCAACCTGAAATCAATATAGAAATCTTCGTCACTCAGCCAGCATCAACAACGAAATTCGGTCGGATATTCAACACAAACGTCAAGTCAGTCAGTTCTTCCATACGGATCAGAAACTTGGCGGGCAGGTGGGTCGTAAAGAATATTTCCAACAGCCTGTTGCAGACCTTTATCAACCAACAACTGTCTTTGCTCTATACTAAAGATCAGATGACCGGATCGGAAAGAATCACCAACAAGAAACTATGGGAACAAACAAACAAAACAAGAGACAATCGCCGCCCTACAAATATGCAGGAGAAAGTGGAGATGGATTGAACACTCGTGGCTGAGGAAGTCGCCGGGAGACATCGCGCGCGCGTCAGGCCATTGCTAGAGTGGAACCCGAAAGGGAAGCGACGAGTGGGACGTCAGTGCAAGGGTGACATGGAGGAGGTCATGTGAAGATGAGTTGATACAGTATGGGCTAAGATGGATGCAGGTGAAAAATACAACAGAAGTAAGACAGAAGTAGCAAGTGGAGACGTGCAATTGAAGCCCTATGTTCCACAATGAACCCAAGGGAACAATAACAATAATAATGCCAATTGTCAGCGTTAGTATCATATCCGTAGTCTGTAAGATGTTTTATTGGGATTTCTGTTACTACAACTTCAGCTTTTTTCAGCTACTTAATCAAATGCTCCACTATGCGAGAAGACAACAGGCTTTCTGAATCCATCATCTGTTTGCTTCCACAAACGCATTCAAAACGATATGCTTGTTTGGAAGTGTCGAGAATTAGCGACTGCTCTTTCCCAGATTGTTGAAGCATCTGCTTATAATATCCATTATTGGATAAAAAATCCTTCAGAGTCTTCATTTCATATTCATTAATACTGCCAGCACAGACTTTATGTGCTCCATTAAACAATACTCTTAGTAGGTTTTTCAGTATTGGATGCGAACGATTCACACAATAATACTAATTTTTCGTTTCTGTTGTTGAAATACGCATGTCATTAGCTTCTCTACATACAAAATCAATGCTACGGATGACTGGAACACTTGCGAACAGACAAAACTAAATTAGAAGTAATAAGAGATGTTTGCCAGTTACG